AAAAAAAAAGAGCCCAGCAATCAATAAACAGGGAAAAGGTGGAAACAGGTTAGAAGAGGAAGTTAGAACTTTTGGGTCCCCATGGTCCCTTCATCCTGCCCCTGATAGGCCCGTAGCTCCTGTTACCTTTTACCCACAGAGCCCTTTCCAATTAATGTCATTGGGTACTAACACCAAGTCTCTGAGAGAGGAAAGGGTTTTTCTCATAGTCCCAATGAGGACACTGAAACTCAGAGAGGTAAAATAACCTGCCCAAGGTCAACAGCAAGCAAGGGGCAGACTTAGGACAACCAAAGACCATTGGGTTCCAAGCCTGCCTCATCACCTCCATGCAGTGGCCCTTATCTTGTCTGCTTACCACCTCACCACACCTGCCTCCTTCAGGAAACCTGGGGTCACCTGAGCCCTTTACCCTTACTCCCCAAAGCTTCCAGGAACTGCAAGGGCAGATTGGACGGCAGGGCAGTCATGAAAGGAGGCTGTTTCTCACCTCCTGGGGCATCAAGGGTCTTGGGAGGCAGCCTTCACACCAACCCCCACAAGGCAACAGCATTCTGAGGCCAGCCCAGGGCAAGCAGGCCCCAGGCCGCCTGAGTGGGCACAGACAGAAATAATAAACAGTTCCTGTGTGGACGCCTCAGCAGGTGGTGGGAGCAGGGGCAGCAGGGAGCTCTAGGGAGCCTGATTTATAGTTCCTCATCAGGAAATGGAACGTTCCTCCCCACCCCAGCGCTTTCCTCAGGGCCCTACTTCCTGCCGGCTCCCTGGGGACATTTAAAATCATTCTACTGCGGTCAGTAATGGCCCTATTCCCTATTTCTAGGGAAAGAATTTCACTGGAGTATATCTGCTAATATTAACTTTTCATCAAAGTGTTTTCTTCTTAGATATTAAGGAGAGGGTTTGCAGATTCCCAGGTTGATAGTGCGCTGAAGCAGAGAGCCAGGCACCGGAGGGCACCTATTCGTAAAGTGGATGTTTGGGAGCCACGCGGTTCTCCCTGAGACCCGGGGCCGGCGGCCGATGTGCCGGATCTGCCCAGGGCCGCTGTGGTGAATCCCCAGCCCGGAATGCAGGCCCTCACCTGATGGGCCCTCCATGCCCACCCTGGGGCTCTGCCTGCATGCCTCCATCCACCTAGGACTTGTGAGCTCCCTGGGGTAGGTCTTCTCCTTCGTAGTCTGCACAGAGAAGTTCACAAAATACACCTCCTGTGCTGGGCACTTGGGGTACAACGTGGACTAATCCTTCGGTCCTGTCCTCAAGGAGCCCCGTGTCATGGGAGGACACATCAGCAGATAATCATAACACAGTGGGATGCACGCATGAATAGGACTCCCACCTATTTCCCAAAAATAGGACCCCCACCTTTTCCCAAAAGCTGGTGGGGAATTGTGTGGTGGAATTCTGGGTTAGGAGAACAGCCTGGGCAAAGGCACGCTGGCGGAGAGAGATGTAAAGACACATTTATGATGGCAGTCTCTTGAGGGTTATAAATTTTTCCTGGTTTGCTCATTTAGCAAAGGCTCTGTGGATACAGAGAGACAAATAAGATATGGTCTCCGTGCGCAGGGAACTGACTACCATCTCTCCTGGGAGGCAGGCCGGAGTGCATTCAAGAGCCACAGGGGAATTCTGTACCTGCCATAAAAGTCCATTGTCAAAGAATAATATTTATGATAATATTTATAGTGTACTTGCTACATGCTAGGTTAAGCCTCACATCAACCCCATGGGACTAAGAGAAGACGGGTACAGAAAGGTCACGGCATTTCCCAAAGCGCAGAGCTCAGACCTGAACCCAGGCAGCCTGCCTCCAGAGATTTTGCTCCTTATTTCTGCTCAGCCATACTTGTCATTTGTTCTTTGAAAGAATAAACGAACGGCTGTACAGACCAACCCATCTCCCCAGAGCATTGGCCGTTCTGCACCCCCTAATGCCCCAGCTCCCTGCCCTCTGCCTCCTGGAGCTCTTCCTGGCTGCCTGGTCACCTTGGCGGCGGCGTGGACGAAAACATCGGGGCAGCCTGGCATCGCCCCTGCCTCTGGCACAGACAGGCAGACCTGCAGGAGGGGCTGCCAGGTCAAATGCCATTTTGCTCCTGGCTCACTTTGCAAGTACCTCCTCCCCCCGCGGACCTGGGCCCAGTGCCTGAGGCACGGAGCTTGCAGGCAAGGGAGGAGGCCCTCCATACACAGCCCCCACACTTCACTCACTCACTGTCCGCTACAGGTGGGCCGGACAGAGCTCGTACGTGTCCATGGTTTTGAGAGGCAAACAGCAGATGAAGGCTACGGAGCCATGTCTGTCCAGACTCCTCCCAGCCAGTAGTGGGAGGTAGTGCTGTAGTGAGCACCCAACTGGTCTCCCTTTCGGCAGCCCCTCCCCCCTTCCTTTATCACCAGCATGATGCCTCTACAGCCTTCAGGCTAAATCTTATTTCCCCGGGGCCTAGTATATGGGGGTGTCTGAGCCGAGCCCAGCCCCCTCCTGCTGTCCGCCACTGCATCCCACACCTCCAGTGCTCCAGGTACCAGAATCATGTTCTTTCACATCAGCACGCCTTTGCCCATGCCGATACCCCTGCCTGGAACACCTTTCTCTCCTACCCTTGCCTTTTTCATCAGATGAAACCCCGCTCATCCTTCAAGGCTCAAATACCACATCCGCTTGAGCCTTCTCTCCTTGGCCACAGAGGTCCTTGTTGTTCCTCTGTGCTCGATTATGGTACTGATCTCCTTCGCCCCCCAAAAAAGCAGGGGCTGTGTCTTAATCATCTTTGCATTGCTATCGCTGTGCCTAGGGTCTGGCACACAGTAAGTGCTCAATAAACAGGGGGTGAGTGAATACATCGAGGTAGAGAGACTGGAGTCTGAGTTGCATGGCGGACAAAGTCTTGCAACTTCCTAGGGTTGGCTGCAGGCTGCCAGGATGTGCCTAGCTGTGCTTGGGAGGGAAGCTGCACCATGGAGGAGGGCGAAATGGATGCTGGAGAAGCGAGAACCTTCTCATCACCAACCCCCACCCCACACTCAAACGGAGCTGGGAACTTGGGCCCCGCTGCCTGCTGAGAGTGAGCGTCATGAGGACAGAGCTGTGAGCACCTGGTTGGTGGCTCGGCTGACAAGGTAGGAAGGTGCCCTGGCCACCAGGGCTGCTGGCTTTGGGACTGTCAGGTTAACGATTTCTTCACACTGCTCTTGAGTTCCTTCTCTCTCAGCACTCAGTGGAAAGCCCATGCCCTGGAGCACCTAGGGACAAATCCCACTTCTGCCATTTGAGAGCTGGGTGGCCTCCGGTCACTTGCTTCGCCTCAGCTTCCTTATTGTTAAGTGGGATGAATGATGTCTATCTCACAGAGTTTGGTGCAGACTGACTGAGACTAAGTAAATAAAGTGCCTTGCCCAGTGCCTGGCACGTGAGTGCTGCTCAATGCTGGCTTCCCTAGAGAGGCCCCTCGTATCCCCCAGGCTGGGGCAGAGCCTTCCAAAGAGAGATGTGACAGTAGTCAGGAGCCTGAGGTTTGGCAAAGCTTGGAGAAGAGGTGGGGGCCAGGGCAGGGCTGAACCCCTGCCAAGCAGGCCTGCTGCCTGTGCAGAGGACAGAGAGGGGCTGATGCTGGTGTGAGGGCACCTGAGGTTGGCGGCTGGGGGAGGAGATAAACAAAGTGGGGCCGAGAGACCAGGCCCAGAGGGGGTTTGACTCATGCTGAGTGGGACACAGACCCAAGAATCCAGGGGCAGCCCCAATCTCTGGGCCCCGTAATCCCATCTTCCATTCACAGATACACACACACTGTCAGCCAATGGGCAAGGGCTCCTCCCTTCAGAGCCCTAAGGGGCAGTTGGTACAAAGACCTCCCCAGTCAGGCTGTATTGAGAAATCCCCCAAATAAGACGGGGAATGGAGGCAGAGGCCCTTTTGTCCCTGATGGAATTCAGACTCCAGAGACTGAAGTCGCAGGAAACCCAAAGCATTTGTCTGCCAGCCCACAGCCCCACAGAGGAGGGAACCTTGCCATCTGTTGGATGCACCATTCAGGGACATTTTGGAAAAGCAGGGAATGGAGGTCCCTACAGGTATTCAGACACTGGGCCCAAGGTCTTTCTCTCTGCTCAGTTCTGCTCTCAGGTTTATGAAAAACCTGACCTCTTGAATGATAATCTCCCCCTAGACATGATTGTAAGGAAGCTGCTTGTCCTCTGCTGGATTGGCAGCAAACTTTATTCCTGAATGGGCTCTACAAACCTGTCAGGTCCCCCTTGCCCTGGGCTGTGGGCGTGGGGGCAGAGGGCCCCAGCTAGGCCCCACCCAGGCTTCTGTACACCTTTCCCACCCTCTTCACTTCTCAGCTCTTCTTTGCTTTTAAAAAAAGCTTCTATTTTATATGTATCTTTTATCAACTAGTTTCAAGTGGTTTTTTTTTTGGAAGTACGTGGGTATAAATAATAGATTCATGATTGACTCAACCTGGGGTTTTGGCTCTTTCATTAAGATAGTGATCTTTGTCCAGAAACCCACGTCTGTCTGGGTTATCTCTGGCTCCTCAAAACACCCACTGAGCGGTCTGTGTTGGTTTTGCTGATGACCAAGCCGGAAACCAATGTTTGTGCCGTAATCCCCCACACAGGAAGGCAGTGTAGCTGAGCGCTCATGAAATTTGGAGTCAAATGGAATTGAGTTCGAGTTCCAGCTCAGCCACTTATTAGCTGAGTGAATTTGGGCAAAGAGTTTAACCCTCATGGATAAAACAAGAACTGTTGACAGTCCTTACCTTGCTGGTTGTCATAAGGATCAAATGAAATAATGCATGCAGAGGACTTGGCAAAGTACTGGGCACATTAGTAAGTACTAATGATGATGGTGAGAATAACAATGAACAGCATTAGTTGAGTACCCAATAAGTGCATGATGCACCCTCCCTTGAGGATAGTTGAAAGAAAGGCTGCCCACCTGCCCATCGTCTGCTCTCCCCATTAACTTGGCCCTGAGGATGCATTTAGTACCTGTTCCAGAAGACGGCCCCTGAGATCTTCTGCATCTCCCCCAGGGTGGCTAGGAGGAGCGAGGACTTGCCACAGCCCACCTGCCCCACGATCATGGTCAGCTGGCCTGCAGGGAGGGCGGGCAGCAGATGGGACTGGGGCAGGAGGGAGTCTGAACGACTACCACCCAGAAAGACAGACAGACAGATACACCCGAACCTGGGACCCCCATTTGCTTTCCTCCTACCTAGAATCCCCCTTTGAGCCTTTCTTTCTGGAACCCCTCCCAGGTCCTTCCTCCACCAGTGGTCTCCTGCTCCTTCCTAAGCACTCGCTGCTCTCCTTGCTAGGGCTCCCCAGGGCGAGCCCAGCTCCTCCTAGTCCCAACAGAGGCCACTCTGGCTCCCATCCCCATCCCACCTGCATGCTTTGCTCATGCTACTGCCTCTGCCAGGATGCCCACCGTGCCTCATGGCCTGAGGGATCCTGCTCATTCTCAGAAACCCCACCTCTTCCATAGTGCCTTCCCTGGCTACTCAGGACTGCTCTTCTTGTTGTGAAGCACCCGCATGTCTGCAACAGATGGTTGGTCCTGCTGTCTTGTCCTGTCCTTGCTGCTGCACTCCCACCTGCACATGGACTCCTAGAGGACGCAGCTTACCCCTCTGCAGCATTCATACCCCAGAGTACCCACCAGGAGTGAGCACTGAGCTGGTACTCAGTACATGCCGATTTTTCTTTTTCTCTCCCTGTCACTCAGTGGACATGGGGAGGGGGCACTTCAGCTATGACTCTGAGGGGGCACCCCCAGACCATGCTGAAGAGGTGAGCTGGGCCGTACCTCGGGGGATGCGGATGGTGATGTTGGACAGTGTGGGGATTCCATCAGGGGTCCACGTGAAGAAGCCTCCAATGATCTTTATTGGTGGTACCCCACCGCCCGGAAGAGAACAGAAAGGCAGCTGGGTTCTCGTGTGAAAGGTCTCTTGCCTCCCCTCCCCCCCAAAAGCCAAAAAACACTGATTTCAGGCCCTGGATCACTTCTAGGGCAGGGGAGAGGGGGGATGGCCTTCTCATGCTGACCCCTGCCCGAAGCACCCTCTCCAAGAGGACAATCACATGTTCCCCCATTCAATGGAGAAGGAAGACTTGTCCCTGGTTTCGGGACTGCAATGAACCCTCCCAGCAGGCAGGGTGACCTCCACGGCAGAGGACTCAGCACATAGATCTCTGATGCTGAGCTCCCTCCTGGAATGGTGCTGGGGGGCCAGGTATTGGGGTGTAAGGTCCAGGACTCACCTGGACACACCAGTTGTCAGCATCCCCATCTGCACTGGGGGCCAGCCTCTGCAGGGGGGCCGTGAAGCCCCGACAGTCCTCCCGGGCTGGATGCTTGCGGTTCACAACCTTAAGGGGCTGGGAATGGTCAGGAGGAGGTAAGGGTTCATAGGGGTGGGAGCTGTGCAGGGAAGGGAGTTCCCCCTTCCAGTGAGGAAAGGTGGAGGCAGGACACACCAGGGCACAAGCTACAGGCACTAGAGAAAAACACTGAGAGTGGTTGGGGGATGGCAGGCACTCACCACTGTCTGGTACTTGCTGGCTTGGCCCTGGGGCGCAGGCTCGCGGGGAGCACACTGCTCCTCGCGGATCTCGGCACTGGAAAGGAACTCGCTCAGCTTTTGTACACTGCAGAGGAAGCACAGAGACACCCCTCACCCTTGCCAGGGGCAGAGGGGAGGGGAGAGGGAGGAGGGCGCAGCCTGAGAGAGCAGCTCTGAGAAGGTTCCGGGTCCTGCGGTGCTGTCCCCGCAAAGCCCACACTGGAGGGGGCCAGACCAGCGGGCATCCGGGGTGGGCAGTCGGTGTTACCTGTATTTGTTAGGGTTGACCAGTCAGCAGGCCTGGGTTAGGGTCTGGGTTAGGCTGAGATTGGTTAGTTTTAGGGTAGGTTAAATGTTAAAGCTGGGTCATTGGTGTTGGACTTTATCAGTTACTTTTGGAGTTAAGGTTGGTCAGTGTTAAGGTTAGTTAGGATTGGAATTGGTTATTAACAATAGCTAGTATTTATTGAGCACGTACTATAGGCCAGACACTGCGTTAAATGCTTTAGAAGCATATAATTAAATCCCGCTGGGGAAGGTGTCATTATTCCCAACTCAAGGAGGAGAAGGCCTCAGATAGTCTGGTGAGAGTGAGATTAGGAGTTTCTGCATATGGAAATGCTTCTGGGTCAGCACAAGGGATTTCCAACAGGGGTGGCATCCTCGAACCCGGGGTTTCTATACAGAATCACAGAGCTGGGCTGGGGTGGGGGTGGGTGAGGAGGGGTGATCATTAGAAGTCACAATGCCATGGCCAATTAAACTGAATCAGCACAGCCAAGCCTGGACATGGGAGCTAATCTTTTCCCAGCCCTGGTTTAACTGCCCCCTAGTTATATGCTCCTTTGACCACAATTCTGCTGAGTTATGCTCCCTTCTAGCCTTGAACCCTGGTCAGAGCTTCCTCGAGTAAGTTGCTCCTTCCATCAGCGACTTGGTTCCAACAGCTATTTCACCTTGCCAGCTTGCCTAGGACCTGCTAGGGTCCCACGCGTCAGGGGATGTCACTTTCCTCAAGGTTGAAGGGGCTCAGGTACAGAGCACATTTGTTACCGGCTGGTCCCACTGGCAATGGGAGGTGCCATAGCCAGCTCTCCCCAGAGGCATGCCAAGCCCTAGCCTTCAAGGAACTGTTTTAGAGGTTCCAGGAGATCTTCACACTCCAGGTATGGAATTCCCCAGCCAAAACCTCAGCCCTCTACCCTAAGGTTTTCATTCCCGAGAGGGTGATGCCTCTGGGCGAGCGGCCGCAGGGCTCTAGAGCCCAGCAGTAGGGGCCTCCCAGAGCTGCAAGTTAACGGGGGACAGGACATGCAGGCACTTAGGGGAAAGCTGCTTTACTGACCAGGGTTGGGAAGGCTCTGGGACCCGTGGAAAGAAGAGGGGATGGTCAGCCTGAGGAAGACAAAGATTCAGTGGATACCTTCTGAAATCCGAGGGGCTGCCATGCGGGAAGGCACAGCGCTCATTCTGGGGGCTCTGGAGGGTAGAACCACTGCTGATGGGTAGAATTTATGAGGAGATACCAATTCTGGCTCAACATTGCCTTTTTTCCTTTTTTTTAATAGAGTTGTCTTGCGGGTGCCATTGAGTTCCCTCTCCTTGGAGGTACATAAGCCAGTTGCCTAATTCCTTCTCAGGGATGGCGTGGAGGGGAGCTGCACATGGCTAAGTCCCTCTGGCCAACTCTGACCACCTTCAGGGAGGCCCAGGTCAGTGGGGAAGCATGTCTTGGACCAAACAGCTGTAGTTGCCGTGGTCACTGGCACAAGCCCTGGGGCCACCACCTGAGCGCCTGTCCAGTGTCCTTGCGGACTCTCCTCTCACCTGACGAGAGCTTTGACTGTGGACCGGACCACGCTGGACAGCAGGAACAGTGGTGTGACCAGGATGTGGAACAGCGAGAGGGAGGCAAAGGCCACCGAGGGTGAGAAGTCGGCCCCTTTGAAGAAGCTGACGTGGCCCACGAAGGTCTGTGGACGGAGGCACACGGGACGTGTGTGACTCAGAGCCTGGGCCTCTCCCACACAGGCAGTGCTCAGCCCTTGGGCTGGAATGGGGGACCCAAGGAGAACTTTCAGTTCGAGACCCCTTCATCATCTTCAGTCACCTCCTGGAAACGTCTCCAGCAAGTTTAGGACTTCAAGCTGGAGGGCCAGAGCTGCTGCCCCCTGTTCTGGCCCCTCCTTGCCAGGAATGACCAGAGAGGAGCCCTCGGAGTCGGTCAGCTCTGCCCCCTCAGACAGCAGTCCTCAGTTGGGGAAAATGTCCACTCGATCATTCCCAAACCACCCCCTCTCTGTGCCCGCCCCCGGCTACCTGGCCGGCTCAGCAGCCTCTGTTACCCAGAGTTCCCCAAGGAGCCAGGTCAGACCCAGCCCAATAAATCACGTCAAAAGTGAATTCCCAAGGGTGCCTGACAGGCTGTGAACTCGCCACAGCTCAGGGACACCGGCCCCGGTGAGGGGAGATGTAGGGGGAGCAAATGCATCTTTTTAAAGAACTGTGGCCATCACAGAAGCCAGATGGGAGCCCTGGGCTGGTGGGGGCCTGGGCCTTTCTGGAGGGGCACACCTTGGGGCCCCACTGCTGGGCTCCCACACAGCTTGGGTCAAAATCGCTTTAGAAAACCTCCATTGTAATATTTAATGACACAGAGACTTGTTCGCGCCATGTTCTTAAATTTCAAAAAACTGCATGTACGGCACAATCCTATTTTTGTAAAAATGTCATATTATATGCCTTAAAAAGGGACTGGAAAGAAACACATTAAAGATGTTGCCAGTGGGATTATGGGTGATTTAAATTCTTTTTGTCCTTTCCTTTCTGAATTTCCCAACGTTTCTGCAATAAACACGTCTTACTTTTATAATTTAAGAGTTTGATAGCTCTTTTGAAAAGACAGTGAGATCTCTTTAAAGCCTAAGCTGCTGGTCGGTCCGGGCCCAGAGGCAGGGGCCCCTGTCCCCTGCCTGTCTGCGGGGAGGGACCTGCTCCGCATACAGACTTTCAATCTATTGCCCTATTTTCAGTCCCGCTGCCAAGCACACCATCCAAAGTCCTTGTGCAGAAAGGCCAAACCCTGGGTGGCCTCTCGCTACAGACATGCTCTGCCACCCACCCCAGCCAGATATGGAGAAGGGATCCACTTACGATGAGGACAGCTGCGATGGGGATGGCCGTGTTCATGAAAACTGTGGAGGAAGCGCAAGGGAAGGTTAGGGGGAGAGATGAGATCGCTAAAAATGAAGCTGCCCAGGGTGGCCCAGAGGGAGTGCGGCCCAGGGGGTCCTTTCTGCAGCCAGCAGGGCAGAGCTGGGCAGGGGAGGGGCAGAACTCCAGCCCTGCGGTCCCTCCAGCTCTTTACCCTGCTTCCCTCAGGACTCTTGTCCCCTGTGTCTGAGACCCCGCCTTTAGACAGAAGCTTCAGTGCTTCTATTCTGCTCCCGGGGGCCAGTGTGAAGGAAGCCCTGTGCAAAGTGGTGAGAGAAGGATCGGAGAGTTGACTGTCTCTGGGCAACTGCGAGGTCAGCAGCATGTGTTTCTGGGGGCACTAGGTTGCTACCCCTTCCTCTGCCTTTGGTCCCTGTATCCCCTCAAGCCAGGTTCTCTCTGAGGTTTAGAGGATTGCTAACCTCTCAAGGCTCTTGGGAAGGATTTCAAACTCACTCACACTGAGGTATTAGTAACTAGGGACAGCTTAAAAGAGGGTCTCCCTTGGCTCTAAGGCTTAGCATCCATGCCCAGGTGGGCAGTTGGTTTGCTGTGGTCCTTGGACCCTTCATAGGGATTCCAGAGAGGAAAGAGAGCCGGACTTCAAGTCAGAGAAGGGTGGAGACCCTGACCTCAGGCAGGTCACTTACCTCTCCGGCGCTTCGGTTTCTTCACCTGATTTTTGTAAATTTGAATTTACTTGTTCACATACTCTGGCTTCTTCCAAGGTAAGAGGGGATAATAATGTATGGAATAGGCTCTGTGAGCCCGGGATGCTGCCTGAATATCACACCTCACAGGCTACTAGCTTAGCTCTGCTCCGCAGGTCACGCTCCTCTGGCCCAAGGTGTGAGATGCTGGAGACAGCCCTGACCCCAGGCCTAAATTTCCAGAGAGCAGCCCTCCTGGAGTAAGAGATGATTATCCTAGCTGCCATCTTCCCATGTCCTCCTCCTTCCTTCCAGGATCCTCTTCCAGACCAGCCTAGAAAGGAGTCTGGTTGTATAATTAGCCAAATTAAAGGAGAAGGAGCCAGGAGCCAGGAGCCAGACGCCAAGGGATCAGCCTATGCACATGGCCCCTACCTAATGAATGGTGAAGTCTCTGGAGCCACTGAAGCATTACAGATGGTCAACACCATTCCAAGAGGCTGACTGTCCACTTATTCCAAGAATCCCGTACCAGCTAGTATATACACAGCACATTCTGGAGGTGTGGGACCCCAAGTGAATGCAAGAGCATGGCCTCTGGCCATAGGGGGTCCTTGTCTGAGGAAGGGGACAGAACTATGCTCTCAGGAAGCCCCTGTTATGATGGGGAGACAGGCAACATGCTCTAGGGGGTTCCCCAGCAGACAGGAAAGATATTGGGCCCATTTTTTGGGGGGGAATTCCTAATCTCATGAGGGAAACAGCCCCAGCCATTGGGGAGTTCCCAATCTCATGGAGGAGATCTAGCTGGCGCTCTTGTGGGTACTGCTAATCTCTCTGACCACAAGGCTTTTTATCGACACCAATATAATACCTGACCTTTAACTGCCCTTCCTGAAGAAGGCGCTATGGTCTCCAGGTACCCTCCACAATGCTGCAGCGCTCCCTCAGAGTCTCTGGCAGGGGGCAGTACAAACATTATCGGGTTTCCTACAGTGTAAGGGACCCAGCTCAGGGACGTAGGACACAGCACAGCCATCGGGCTAGGGAGAGGGAGGGACAGGAGGACACCAGCAGGCCTGGACCTGTGACCATCACCAACCATACGGCTCTAAACATTGGGTAGCCATGCTCATCCCCTCCAGGGCCAGTCATTCCCGAAAGCTCCATTCAGGCAGGGGCCTCCGTCTTTCTCTCCTGCCTGTCCCCATCAATAAGCGCCACCCCAAGGCCCCCTGCCCCAGGCTGAGACCCCCTCTGCACACCAGGGGCTCAACTCCCAGCTCAAGAATAGGCTAGAAGTTAGGTTGCAAATTGGCACAACTCTGCTTAGAAAGCAATCTGGTGCTTTGTTAGCCAGAGCCACACAGAAGTTCAGACCTTCTGATCCTGTAATCTCTCTCCTGGGAGTTTATCTCGAATAATCACTCAAGAGAAGCACAAAGCCCTCAGCAAGATGCTGTTAGCTGCAGCGCTGTCTGTCACGGCGGAACAAAACCACAACCACAGCAATAAACCACCCAAAACAAAAGAAACTGGCAACATCCAATGCCAAGTGGCTGTTTTAGTAAATGTGGTACATCAACTCTAGGGGAGATTTTGCAGTCGGAAATGTGTGATAATTGGTACTTTGTTCTACTGCATGTTTTCTCTGGTCGTGATTTTTTTTTAATTTATTTTTTTCCTATTTTATTCCTTATTCTTCCAGCGGCCTGAACTCCTTTGAGGAATGAGACAAGCTATAAATAAATTTGAAAATGAGTTTTCCAACGCTGATGCAGCAGTGTGGAGAATGTATATGATATAATTAATTTCTGCCCTGTTCTGTTGTTGTGTGGAGACGTTAGCGAATGAAAATGTAATTTTCCATTTCCCTCACCCTCTCCTGGAAGGACAGCGTTTGTGCAGGGAGCTCTGGGTCCCGTTCAGGGCGGGGGTTGGGGAAAGACAATCACCAGCTGCTTGAGTCGTCGAGGCCTCTCTGAAGACTCCTGCCCTGGGCGATGGGGTGGACATGGCTGGAACCAGGGGCGCTGCAGGCTCTGGCGGGTCTCTGAGCTCAGCAGACACTCTGGTACCCAGTGAGGGTGGGGGGAAGGGAGTGGGGTGTCCCAGCTGTCACGAGTTGAAGACCTGAGGCCTTGCCTCCGTTTTCCTGAACCCCATAACGCCCCATAAGACATTAAAGGTGGTGGACGGGTGGGAAATATGACCAAGAATTGGCATGCGGTGGGCTGACTCGTTTGGATTTGATCTGGGTGGGGGGTGGGGGCCATGCCAGGGAGAGTGTGGGGGTGGGGGCGGGAGAAGAACACGATAGTGCTCAAATCGTAAATGCTAGGGAGCAAGGAGTACGGTGAAACAGCTCTAAGTGAAAGCAGACAATTAGGAAATCCTGTGTGAGTGTGTTACCGTTTCAGAAAAGTGTCACAGCATGTAGGCAGGCCTGCCAGGCCACATTTGAAAGTGAAAGTCTTTCTGCAATGGTGTGGACATATGGGTCTGTGTTGTTTTAACAGCCTCCTCTCCAAACATCCTTTAAGAAGCATTTTTTCAGGGGCACCTGGGCGGCTCAGATGGTTAAGCGTCTGCCTTCGGCTCAGGTCATGATCCCAGGGTCCTGGGATCGAGCCCCGCATTGGGCTCCCTGCTCCGCGGGGGGCCTGCTTCTCCCTCTCCCTCTGCTTCTCCCCCTGCTCGTATTCTCTCTCTCTCTGTATCTCTGTATCTCGAATGAATTAAAAAAAAAAGTTAAAGAAAAAAAAAAAGAAGTATTCATTCAAAAATTACTTGTTGAGGATCTTCTCTGTCCCAGGTGTTGTGCTGGGTCCTGGGGTTATAGTAGTGAACAGTTGTGTCAGCTTTTCCTAACCCCCTGCCCTGGACCCAAAGCAAGCAACAAATCAATCCAAACCCAAGCAGGGCTCCGATCAGCCACCCTCTCCACCCGCACCCCCCCCGCCCTGCCACCCGCCTTTGCTCAAGAAACGCAGCCTGGCCTCGTGGGTGCCCCAGCCCGCCCCGCAGTACCAGGAGCTTTTCATTCCCACCACATTGATAAATATTTCAGAGGCCATGTGTCCGGGAGACACAGCCGGCCGCTCGTGCCTCCGGTTAGCTTCATCTTTGTCTCCACTGAGGGCAGGGGGGCGGCCGCAGGCTCCAGGCGGGGCCTAACTGCAGGTGCACCTGCCAGAGGGGGAAATGTATTTTCCACGCATCCAGTCGGATGGCCGGCCCGCGGTCGACAGAGGGCAGGGAAAGGGGGGTCCGCTGCTGACAGTGGAGGAGGCGTGGCAGGAGGGCCCACAGGTACACCGAGTCTGCCCCTTCACGGATGCGCCTCCCCGCTCTCCCTCCGCCACCTCTCGGCCCAAGCAGGCCAGGATCTGCACCAGCCGCACACTGTGGCTACGCCAGCCAGTGGAAGGAAGGGCAGACTTTGAAGAGGAAATTCACAGAAGCTGGAGAAGGAAGGGGGACCAGGTCTGGAGGTCACCGTGTCCTGCAACACTTCCCGCTCTGAGTCGGGGCCTCCACGGAGGAGGACAGGGGCAAGACTTGCCAAGAATAGCCAGGCCCTGGCAGGTGCTGGGTGGCCTGAGACTGGGGTTCGCCAGCGCCATCCTGCCCACCCCCGTCCCCCCACCTGTGGCACAGTTGGGCTTGGGTTTCGTTTTTTGGTTTTCAGGACACGGAGGGCCCACCTGGCTGTGGTTCAGACCAGCTGGGAAGACCGAAGCCCCTTGACCACAGAACACGGGAAGTGACGGCAAACACGCCTGTCCTTTACCTAAACTCTTTCAGTGGCTCTCCTGCCTTGGGAGAAAGGCCAGGGGTCTGAACGCAGCACACCATCTGGTCTTGTTACCATCTCCCCGCCGAATTATGCTCCAGGCTTGAACACACCACCATCCTCTCACCTCCAGGTCTTTGTGCCTGGAACATTCTTCCCCTCATCTGGCTAGCCTCTAGTCATCCTTTGGGCACCTCTGAGAAGGTTTCCTTGACACCCACTACTGTCCAGACTAGGTTGGGTAGAACTCCACAGGCACCTCGAATACCCCCTTCTGTTCCTCTCACTCACAACACACTTACACATCTGGCCTCCCTACGAGACTCTGAGGAACCCACAGGCAGGACCACAATTTCTTCCCAGCACCACATCCCCTGTGCCTGGCCCAGCTCCTGGCCCATCATGGGTGCTCAGTAAATATTTATCAGCTAAGTGATGAGAGAAACAAAAGAGGCCAGGGTCAGGTAAGTACCACAAAAGAGAAAGCAGGGCATCTGGAACTGAGCCCCTGGTGCTGGCCTCATTCACAGCCACTGTTCACAGCACAGTCTCTCTCAAGACTGTGAGGGAGAGGATCCTGCTTGCCCCCTCGTTAATGCACAAGGCCCCGGTAGAGTCTGGCACAGAGAGAAGGCTCTGGGATGGGTGCTGCACGAAGGACGCCATGAACTGGCAGCATGGCTATTGGTCCACGGGTAGGGCCTAGGACCCCTTTGTCACTCCTGCAAAGCTTGTCCTCCAATACATGGCGGGGCTGGACACCTAGAGTCACCAGCTTCTGTAGGGAAAAAAGGAACCGACTTCTCAGGGGAGTGGCCCCAGCACTTGCCTCCAGCTTTTCCCTACTTTATTTTCTACTCATTGAAACCCTGCCCATCCTACAAGGTGCAGCTCAAGCCACCTCTTGCAGGAAGCTCTGGTGAAGTCCCAGCCCATAGGGGCTTCCTTCTTTTCCAATCTCTGCCATGTACTGGCTGAGGACCTGGGCCAGTCATTTCACCTCCCTGAGCCTCAGCACACGGGGACAGTAGACCACACAGCTCACAAGGCCACGGTGAGGACTGAGTGCCATCAGGCTCGCTAGGCAGCCAGCACAGGGCAGGTCCATGCCGCGCAGTGATCCCCGCCGCACTGTCTCGTGTACGGCAGCTCTGAGTTCTCAGCAGAGCAGAAAGTCCTGGAAAATGGGGAGCACCATGTATTGTCTCTTGCACCCCTCCCAGGGCTTAGCACAGGGCTGGCCACCCAGGCTAGGCTCATTCAACCTCCGCTGAGTGACCTGTATCTCTTTTTCTTCAATTCTGGATTTTGATGGTAGGGAAACTGTATCCATTTCCTTCCCAGCCCCCTGCCCTGCCCCGTACCAGCTCAGGGCTCTGATGGTGAGAGCATCTGACAGAGTGTCAGAGGTACCCTAATCTGCCCAGCCGTCTGACTGCTGGGCACACGATGACCACGCCGAAAGCCCAGCAGGTGGCACTAGGATGGACCCCAGCAGGAAGAGTGGCTCTGGGGCTCTCCTGTGGCGCCAGGGAAGAGAACGAAAGATGCCCCATTACCTCAAGCCAAGAACCTATGTCCTGATCCCTGGTGACAGGGAGCAGAAGGCAGGAAGTCCAGGAGGAGGTAAACAAAAACACACTCACAGCATATACCTGCAGCCAGGAGGCGCCCCTCCCGCCCCGTCTCCCCCTTCCCACAGCTGACTAACAGACCCATCCCAGGAAGGGCAAACACAGAATAAACAGCACTTAGCTTTCAACACTCTCCCGGAGGGCACTTCCCTTTTCCTCCCACTGCCCTCTTCCAGGGACCAGCCTGGGATGTTCTGCTCATCCTTCTAGGTCGCTGAGCCCTGGATAGACCCCTGCTTGGCTCCAGAACCCCTCACTCCTAACAGTCATCTCAGCCCCTGACAACATGGCATCTTCTTTCCCCCACGTCTTCCTGGCCCCAGGACCTTTACAAAGCCATGGCTTGTCCTCTGAGGGCTTCATGGGACAAAGAACACCTACTAGATAGGCTTCGGTGGGCTAACCTGGGAACCTAGGCATCACACAATGTTGTTTATATACAATACATCACACAATGTTGTTTATATACAATACGTTTGTAGTTTGGAATGCAGGAAATGAGCATACATCTCCTCGGAGCAAAGTAGCTGTTAGCTGCCCCCATCGATATGACCTGTAGTTGCCCTTACTTTGCTGCTAGGAATCTTGGGGCCCTAGTGCCCCCAGTTTCCTTGCTGCTTCCCCTCCCTAGCTCCCATCGCAGCAATGGGGAGCCTGCCCTACCCCACCCTGTTATGCTGTTGCTGGAAGAGGCAGTCACCCGGCTGTGGGGGGAAACCCTCCTCCACCTCAGCAGCTGTTCCCATTGGTGAGATGTCTGGAAGCCAGGTGTCCTCACCTGGGTTATACACAGTGTGGGGTTACTGTTACCACAACCAGGCCCAGGGGCAGGCAGAGCTGACAGGGAGAAGCAGGAAGAGGGCCTGGGGCTCAGACACTGGTTTCTCTCAGCTCCCCACATGTTCCTTTCCAATTTCTCCTACCAATCCTGTGGAGTGCCCAGCCTGAGGGTGCTCAGAGGCCCTGAACACCGCATGGTCAGGGCTGAGGGTCAAGAGGAGACACCTGGAGTGTCTCGGTGAGGAATCCAGGAAGTCACGCTGCCTGCCATGTTCACAACTCCATTCTGAGAAAAGCAGGCCCTAGCAGGACTCTCTGCAGAAAGACGCCATGACTGGTGCCATGGACGGTCTGGCCATAGAACACCATGGTCTGGATGGACACAGGGAGTGGGACACTTGGGGTGCTCAGTGTAAGCCCTGCCCTGGGAGAAACTCCAGCTTGGATGCTGGCCACCTGGCCCCACCGGACCCTCTCTTTAGGCAATATGAACACCAGGAACACACAGAAGACCTGAGTGGCCGTCTCGTTCTCCATGACCCTATCTGGGAGGCACGCCCAGTGCACCCTCCACTCCCGGCCCACCCCCGGCGACCCCCACAGCAGTGTTTCTTCCTGGCACACCAAAAGAACCCACTTCAGCTGGGGGCGGTGGTCAGCTGAGTGCATCTCTTCTAACTTCCTCCCCTGTTTCCCACGCCCATCAGAGCCCATTCTTGGTTGTTTCTTTCCTACTCAGAGAAAATCGTCTGAAAATGGAGCCCCATAGTGTCCTAAGTTTTCCTCACCCCACGTAGGTGCCCAGCCGTTGGTGGAAAATAGCACGAGCCTCCAGCGGATCTAGTCTGAGCCATGCCATTAACCTCAGGAGTGACCTCAGGAAAACACCCCGCTCCGGGCCCCCACTTCATATCTGTAAAATGGTTCTCTCAACCGGCAGAAAACACTTTCTTTTACGTCTCCTTGCCACATTCTATGGAACTTCCACAGATCTGTCTTTTAACTCACAAACGTTCTCTTCAGGTATGTTAATTCATTTAAGCATTACACTTGAGTCATTTTTGTTTCCTTTTTTTCCTCTCTCCGGAGCCTCTTCTTGGCCCTTCCTACCACATTGGCTCTTAAACTGGACAGGCCAGGGAACCAGTGTGAGGTCTCCAACTGCTAACCATCTCCATCCCAACCATGCACTTGGGCACTAAGCACAACAGGGTGGGTCCTCGGAAGCCCCTAGACCAACTGTAACATCAACTTGGACCAGGGTTCCATCGGCCACCTGACCTCCATAAGCCCTGGCCTGACCTGGGGACGCCGTCCACCGAATTAATTTTGACAACCAAATTTTTAATTTCTAGAAGTCCTTTTGACTCTTTTCCCCCTGATACTCTTCTGTTTTACCTTGTTGGTCTAACACCTTCCTTTAGCTCTTTAATTATTTTCAACATGCTTATTTTATGATCTCTTTTCAGACTGTCCTATCATTTCCAGGTATTGAGGGAATAATTCTCCTGTTGTTTTGCATTTGATGGCTCATACTCGGGTGGTACATTTTTCTTTGGTGGAGCCCCATATTCTCTGGAAAGTACTTGTAATATGTGTGTCTGCTAGGACCTGGGAGTTTTACCAGTTTTGGTCTTTTTTTCTGTACATATATTCTGGGCTTGGGGTTTCCTAACTACTTGGATTCAGTCCCTACATCTGTGAGTACCTCAGGTTTGAACTTCTGTTCTCTAAGAAGAACCTTTCTCCTCATACCCCAGGTAGGTGGAAGCTTCCTTGTAGCTGCTTCAGGGCAGTGAGTCTTCACACCCCCAAGAATTCAAAACTGTTGCTGTTTATGTAAATGTACGGCTGCCTCCCGATAAGAGATCAGTTCAGTGGAGTGTAAAAGATCTCCCTTGTCTTTGTCATCACTGTGTCTTGAGGGCCAGGACAGTGCCCTGCGCACAGCAGGCTGTCGATATACATTTGCTGGGTAAGTGACTGAGGACACTGTGACTTCTGGGGGCTCTGCTCCACGAGACAGTTTGAGGCTCCCCTGGATTGGGTGCTGCCAACGTCTCTTGCTTCTGCCACCTTCACTCCCCGCCTCAAGCCCTGAACACCCTCTCCCAGCATGCAAGCAGCAGAGCATGGGGCTGGCTGGTCGCGGGGACTCACTGGAAATGGAGGTGTACACAGCGAAGGCCCTGAGGCTGGTCATCTCCTTCCTGCGGGTCCTCTCCACGCGGGTGCAGAAGATGTTCTCCCAGGCGTACAGCTTGAGCAGCTTGATGCCACGGAGCATCTCGTTGGTCTGCTTCAGCCTCTCGTTGGAATACTCCTGCCAGGGGTCCCCAAGTCAGAAAGGAGTCTCCTTTGCCCCCGTCCCACCCAAGAGGAAGGAGCCGAGTCAATGCCCTCACCGTTTCACAGACAGTGCCCAGCTCCTGTGCCCACGGGGATGCCCCCTGCCTTCTCCATTCATCCCCGTTCACACGCACAGAAACTGAGGCCTGGCCAGTGAAGTGGTCTGCTTAGGGCCAATGAGTGTGGCTGTGTGTGTGTGTTCACCTGTGTGTGGCTGTTTGGCGGCATCTGGGGGAAGAGCGAGGAGCCTCTCTGACGTACAGGGAGAGGAAGCAAGCAGCCAAGCAGCCGCATGGGAAAGGCTGGGGAAAGGGGGCCTGAGCACGCCCAGGACACTCACTCACCAGTGTGCTCCGCTGGGCCTGGGAGAGCTTGGTGGCCACAAAGTACTGCACAGGGGCCAGGAGGATGATGACAGCTGCCCCGATTAAGGCACTGACACCGAGGATGTAGTAGAGGAGAATCACACCCACGATGATCTGAGGGAGGGTCACGGGGGTGAGTTTCCTCTGACCTGCTGGCTGCCCTGGGGGAGGGGGTGCTGTTTCCAGCTGTCCCCGGGGGCCAGAGGAGGAGGCGTGACAAAGCAATTTCAGAAAGAGGTATTAACATGAGGCCGTCTCTGCACAAGCAGTGGCTTTCTGGGCTGATCGCTAACTGCATTTATCTGCCAGCCCGCTGGGGCGTTAACGCTCTCCAAATCTACCTTCCAGATGGGAGTCTCAGAGCTGAGGTTGCACAACGGGTGTAACGGCACCTTTTGTTCTGTTTGCTGGCTGTCCAAGCTGACAGTTCCCTCCCGCGGGGAGAAAAGTGACGTAGGAGCGAGCACAGGGGCTCTGCTGCGTCCCGCCGGACAAACTGATCCGGGGGCTGGGAGTTCATGTCCCATTCTTAGGCTCCTGGCATCTTTAAAAAAAATTTTTTTTTTTTAAAGATTTTCTTTATTTACTTACAGAGAGAGACACAGCGAGAGAGGGAACACAAGCAGGG